CAGCCATTATTTGTGCAGATGCAAAAATTTCATTCAAAATCAATGGATTCCCTTACCATTCTTTGTAATTCTCTTTTTCAGAAAAAACCAATGTGTTGAATATGCAAAAATTTCATTTGAAATCAAACAAAATACAAAGAGAGGGGAACTGCCACAAAGTAATTGAAGAAAAAAAAAACCCCCAACTAAACATGATAGTAAACTATATCGCTCAGTATCTCATCCTCATCATCATAACCATCAACATGATCCATACCATACTCATCACCTGAATTCAAATCTATAGCCAAAGCCCCATTGTCATCGTCCTCTGAATCTAACTCAAAGCCAACCAGCCTAATGCTTTCCTTGTGGGGTTCAAGTTTGACTTCAACCCCACCAACAGCGGAGGCAGCCCGTTGGAAGCCAAACCTGAAACCCTCCTCTCCACAGGGAAATCATCATCATCGCCACCAACATCTACCTCAACATCACTGCCACCAATAGTTTCAACAACAAAACCAGAATTACCATAGTGTGTCTCTATAGAACCAAACCCTAACCCTAAATCTAACTCCAAACCATCCATATCCAATTCATGGGTTCCATCAATAACACCGAAACCTGGATCAGTTAATGCATCAGAGACCAAATCAACACGGTTATTGTTTTGATTGCTAGTGGTACCATCGGACATTGCCTGGGATTGCTCGACGTGCTGGTGGAGGAGATCGATGACGAAGTTGACCTGGTTCTCCTGGTCATCAAGGAGATCAAGGCCGTCGTCGACGACGAGCACATCCGAAAATGAGAATTCATCGGGATCGGAGGAAAGGAAATGGAATTCATAGGACCTGTAGGGAATGGGATCCAGGGTGAAGGTGTGATCAGGGCGAGAGTGGTGGTGGACGACGATGTCATCGTCGGGGTCGTGGAGGTGGAGGTGGAGATGGAGGCAGAGACGAATCATGTTGATGGTCATGATGATGAGGATGATGATGGGCCCACAAGGCAAGGTGGCAAAAAATAACAAGAAAAAAGACTTGACCGGTTTGACCGTTTACACTTAACGGTCATTAAACACTGCCGTTAGCTTATGTTGGATGGAGGGACGACATTGGTATGTTTTTGCTTTGTAGAGGGATGACAGTTGAAGTTAATTGATAGTAAAGGGATGACATGGAGCCAATGCATAGTAGAAGGTTTAGATTGCATTATTTTTGATAGTAAAGAGATGATAGATGGCATTAACCCTATAAAAAAGTAAAATAAAAAATGTATATTCTGATTTTGAAGACGTAAATTAGAAAGTCCCACTAGAGGATTTTTTTTTTTTTAATCAAAAGACAAAACAACAAAATACAACTGCGTTGGAGAATTGACCAAAAGCTCTCTATTCCAACGGAGAAAATAGGAGATCGTTTCCTCGAGACTTCGCGGATTCCCTCCAACAACTCTCCTTTTTACCTCCATTAAGTGAATTCCGAAATGTCATCATTATAAATCAAACCCCCACTCCCTCACAATTCACAAAGCTGAGAAATGTGAGTGTGGGAAGGTACGTTTCGCTCTATCTTTTCCACTCACTCAGTTTTCTCCAGATGTATCTTCCTACGAAACGCTAATACCCTGTTTTAATTTTAGTTCGAAACAGATGAGCTACCCAACAAAACCACTCTATCTTCTTCAGCAACAATGTTGT